TGTTCCGGTTTGGAGGGTAAGAGAGATGGTGAAATCACAGGCACGTGGGATCAGTCAACTAACGTCTCAGGGTGACAGGCGCAGTGGTAGTGCTTCTCAGATCTCGCCAATTTAAAGCTCTGTGTGGCGCTGTAACTGTTAGGGACAGGCGTGTAGCTTACCATCAGATGCACGACTTGTCCGCCCCGTCCGTTGATGTTATAAAAGAAAACAACTTAAGAATCCGTGGTAGTGACCCGGTTAGCTCTTGCCGTTTAGTCTCAATCTAAAAAGATGTTTGAAATAAATATTACAAATGTTAAATGTTTTCAAATTGAAATGAGTATTTCAAAGAGCAACCCCTAGAGTTTCTTGCTCATTCTTCGCAGGGGAATCTGCCTTACGAATAAGCAGTAGAGTTTATTCAGTATGACGATATCATTTGCTTTCATTGATTGATGATTTAAATTTACATTTCACGCATTGCATGTAACCGCGAGAGTTGCAAACCTATTTCAAAGGTCATGGTGTTACGGTAGTATTTCCAGTCCACTAGAATTGAAAGATGTAAACTAGCGCGTGTCCGCATTAACACTTGCTGTAATTGATGCGGGTGATTCAAGACACGCCTGCTTACGTCACCTAACACCAACACGGGTATATAGTTTTGCTCACAACCTACAAGGCAAACTTTCGCCGCACCTGTACACTTGCCTGCAATGGAGTGTGAACAAGCGAATTATTTTGTTATGGCGGCACATCACATGGCTTCTTGTATTGGGTGTTTGATGTACTTGAAAAAATGTTCGACGAACATGCAAGAATGCAAACACTGACATGTTTATCTATACATGGAACCAAATAAGGGGTTAAAATGATGAATATGACCATAGTGTTTGAGATACCGACCAGCGTGCGGTAACGCGTGTTTAGTGTTTGGTATGTTTGTCGAATAGGCAAATATGGCAAAATTACTTTCTCACACATGCTATCTACACATGGTGATTGTTTGCCAAATATATCAAATACGCAAATACAAATGAGCTCTTCGTTTCTTAAGAATGTTAGCGTCTAGATAGAAGAAGGTGACCTATTCTTTACAAACTTATTTCTGTTGTGTTTAATACAAATAATAAAAGAGTTTAGTTCAAAAGTTCGTGAAATTACATCTATTTGCCAAGTTTTATGGCAATCGGTTAACAGAAAGTGCGCGAAACCGGATTCATCCCCTGGTTTGCCACCCTTAAAGGTGGAATATTTTCTTTAAATTTAAATGGGACCAATAATACCCTCTTTCCTACAAAAAAGAGTCGTCAGAATCGGTTTATAAATGCCGGAATCGCGTAACACACTGAATTGGAACTGCCTTAGTGACCGAACGGTTACCATGCCGGACTACCACGCAGAGTTATCAGGTTCGATTCCCGGGCCGGGAAAAATATTTTTATGGTCTACATTTGTTTCTCCAGTGAGTTTGAGTGTAATTTGTGGTTGTCTATAACACCTGCGAGACAGGATTTTGTTGAGTGTGTGCGTTATTATTATTATTATTACACACACAAAATTGAGAACCTCCTCCTCTTTGAAGTCGGTTATAAATTCGTTTCTTCTAAATATCATCAATCCATTTATTTGTCCCACTGCTGGGGACGGGTCTCCTCTCAGGCGAGGGTTTTAGGCCATAGTCCGCCACGCTGGCCTAATGCAGATTGGTGACTTCTTAATATAAATTTAAAAAAAATATAATTTAAAAAAATTGTCACTGCACTTAATTTTGCAAGCAAGTGCATGTTAGTTAGTAATAAAATAGCATATTCAAGGTGACTGTTTTACTCAACTAATGGAATTTATAAATTTGTTTGTTACAGTTTACTTTGGCTTAATTAGATTTATGAAATTGT